TATATTGTATCTATTGGGAACATTTCTTTTATAAGTACCTGTGCCTGTACAGTCTATATGACAGTCAGTGTGGTCTACCCAAGTGTAGTGAAGGTGATAATAATAATAATCTTAATAATAGCAATAATTATAATAACAATAATAGTAATAATAATAATAATAATAATAATAATAATAGTTGATGTACATGTATTGAGTTTAGAGAGGGAAGAGGTGAGAGAGGGAGATATAGAAAGAAATACTAAAATAATAATAATAATAATAATAACAACAGTTAATGTGCATGTACATGCATGTATAAATTTTAGAGAGAGAGACATAATAATACATGACATTTAGTTTAACAGAAGGACACTATGCCCAACTTTTGTCGATAGTTAGACGTCAGAGTGTTGGCCACAGTTGGTTGATGCTTCTAGTCTGCCTACCCGCCTAGACTTCATTCCCAGCTTTCTACCCAGCACCTTGCCTTTGACCCTCTTTTCACGACTCAGTGACACCAATTGTCATCATACCATTTGACAATATAAACAGACTTTTAGGATTAATGTATTAGCATGATAGCCGTGGAGAACAGCAGGCTAGGCAGGCTAGGATGTTTGGGTGAAATCAATTGATGCAACCAAAGAATGATGACAGGTTCTGGTGTTTAGGCCGTATGATGAAAATATCATTTATGTATTATTTGAGTAGGAGGGCCTTTCTGATGTTAATTGCAGGAAGTTCCGTAGCAACACTGATATACAGATATTGGCAAAAGTTGGCAAGAATGCTGCTCTTCAAGCTGTTGAAAAGTAACTTAAGCAAAAGTAAAGTAGTTATTTTTGATGTCAGCATGTAGCAGGTGGGTAATTAAATTTGGGTTAAATATTGCAAGGTCTGGTTGTGTGAACATCTCCTTACGAATTATGCCTAAAAGCTCTTGTTGGGGAATGGATGGGTAGAGGTTTTTAACATCCGGAGTAACTAGGATTGCGTCTTCAGGTATAGTGACATTTTCTATAATTTTGACTAGCTCTGTTAAATTATTGAGAAAGTCCGGGTAGTGCTGAGCTAGTCGCGGAAGTACATAATCAAGAAAGAGAGCTGTTTTTGAGAGTAAGGAGTTGCTGTGTGACACAATGGGTCTTACAATGATTCCTGCAATGATGGGTTTGTGTATTTTAGGGATGCCATAAAAGACTGGAGTACAGGTTTTTGTGCTGGATTGAAGAAAGGAGTAGAGTCGTTTGTGTGGACTGAGTTCTTTAAATTTGATTAGGATATTTAGCATTGTTCGTTTTAAGTGGTCTGGAGGAAATGATTCTATTTTGTTGTAAGTGCTAGTTGACAGATGGAGTAGACACTGGTTGACATAGTCACTAGCATTAAGGACTACAATGCCTAAATTCCTGTCTGCTGGTTCTATGACTATGTCCGTCTTTTTCAACTGTGATCGCTCTGAGGTCATTCTTTGAAACGTTGGTTTTGTTGGTGTTTTTTCGTTGTTTTTTGAGATAATTGTTTAGATCCACTTTGGTGAGTTCCAAATAATTTTCTACAATTGCATTATTTGTTTTGAAGTGAGAAGGGGGTGTCTCTTGTCTTGTGGTCATGAGAAACCGCATACTACGGTGTACAAAGGTTTGATTGGTAGTGGTTGGGGAAATGGAAGGTGTGCTTTGGTTTGTGCGATTTGAGATTCTTGACTTACGAAGGGAGTGGCTAAAACTATCATATTGCGTGAGAAATACTTGTCTTACCTTTAATTGGAAGGGGTACTGTAGAGTAAATGACAATCCTTTATCTAAAACTGCTAAATGACTTGGTGATAAATGACAGTGACTATAATTATGTACTACAGAGTGGGGAGAGGTGTAAGTGGTCAGGTCATTTCTGCTATTCGCCGGGGCCCTTCTCTAAAATAGTCTAATTTTGCTCGTCTTTTTTTGGTAGATACTCTGTAAGTTGGCCTTTTCTCTTCCTTGGTGCAGATGTACATTAGGAAATGCTGTCTGGAGCAGTGGCTACAGCTTTAGGAGAAAGTGTAGTTGCTTCCCTTGGTTCAGCTGGTTGTCCTTCTGTGGCATTGGTGTGAGGCTGATGATGAGTATGAGCTTCTGTTTTAGAGCTCTGCTGAAGCCTTATCTGTTTCACTTTGAGGGTAATTGTATTCATCTCAATGGCCGATCTGACATAGTTGTCAAAGAGAGCTTTGTAGCTTTTTAAAAAAGTTGCTTTTTTAGCCACTTTTTAGCTGGTTCAAATATCTTCGGTAGCAATTTAGAGTTGTACTTCGTGGGGACAGTGCCGTGTTTGAGCAATATGTTTTGCAAGGTGATGAATTCCTCCAGGTGTTTGGTTTCACTTTGGATTACTACTTGTGAGTCTGTGGGTAGGGTTATCTAACAGTCTATTTCAGGTATTAGTGTGTACTTTTCATTATGAGAGAGTTAGTGTGTGTATGTATACCTATTGTGATGTTGTGTGTCATAGGTACTCATAGCGAAAATACATTACTTGCAATGACATGTGTTTGTGTGTATGACATGCTTTATTAATGGTGGAAGGAACTCATGTCTGCTGGTAATGATTATGGTTACTTTGCCAATCCTTCCAAATCCTGGTTACTTGTCAAACCTAATGTCCTCGTAACTACAAAATTACTATTCGCCAACACTAACATCAACATGACATCTAATGGATGCAGATACCTTGGTAGCCCTATTGGATCTCATCAATTTGTTAGTGAATACATTTTTAATACAATGAGTGAGTGGGTTAACTAACTAGAAAAACTAGCAACCATTGCTAAGACTCAATCAACCCCATGCTGCATATTCTATTCTCACTCCCGGCTTTCTCAGTAAGTTCACATACCTGTTTAGAACTACACCTATTGTCTCAACATTCGTTGAACCAGTAGAAAAAATGATACACTGTAAGCTAATTAAAATTTATCTGGTGAAGCTAGTATGAGTAATATAACCAGATCCATTTTCTCTCTTCCAGTTAGACTTGGTGGTCTTGGTATTAGGGATCACTTATCTCAACATTATAATGACTCCACATTCATCCTCTCTCCTCTCATTAATGCTATCTCTGAGCCAAACTCTACTGTATCAGTCTCTTTGATCATTTCTGACATTTCGTCGAAAAAATGTCAGGTGAAACAGAGTCATAAGGAGAAACTAATTTAACTATCACTTCCATAAATGACTTAATCACTGATGCCTCTCTCCTTCGATGTCTAGTAAGCCTGGTGCCTTCTCTTGGCTCACTGCACTACCCATATAAGAGCATGGTGTTGTTCTACATAAAGTTGCTTTTTGTAACAGCAGACCTTATTACATAGATCTTTCCTGATGTTCAAGTTGAACCAACTCTCGAAGCATTATCTGGTGAAACATTTTCCCACCAGTCTGCCATCACTGATGATAATGCTAGGGCTGACATTGCTGTGTGCAGTTTCTGGTCATTAAGGCAACGGTCCTTTCTAGATGTACGTGTCTTATATCCTTTCTCACACCTACAATAAATTATCTATTAAAGCCTGCCATAGGAGAAACGAGAAGGATAAAAGACGCCAAAATGGGTTAAAGGATCTGTAATGTTGAGCATGCCTCTTTTATACCACTAGTTTTTACCACTGCAGCAGGAATGGGTCCATCACCATCTACTTTCTATAAACAACTTTCATACAGACTCTCTATTTGTTACTCCAAATCCTACTCTACCATACTTAACTAGATTCGTTGCCATATTTCATTCTCTCTTCTTAGGAACTCCATTATGTATCTCAGAGGTGCACGCTCATCTTACCATCATCCCTGTCACTCGTTCCAATCTCAAGAGCAAGCTCTCTCAGATAGTAGGTTTACTAACCCACATACATTGTACATACGACATGTATATACTACAGTAGAAGACAAAATAAAGTTCACGTTCTACAGAAACGATACAAATACGAAACGGCTTAAAATACAATACTATGCATTGCATTAGAGTACCGTTTAAACAATTAAAAAACGGAAGTTTTCCGTTTTATTACCGTTTATACGGAAAAAGAACGGGTGTACAGTAAATTACACGTGGGTGCAGCGTGGTTGACTGGTTGAAGAGGAGACTTTATTGGGTCACTGAGCGTTCGCTCAAGCCATGTTTCACCTATCTGAGCTACACAAAACCATAGGCAAACGTAAGATAACTTGTACAAACATTAACTGTTTTGTTTTTCCATAGGTTTAGCAACAAATCTCCCTCCAATGATACGGCTCTGAAGCGGAGTGAAATCAGTGAATAGGAGAACTGAAGTGCATCATAGATTGGCAACATTAACTGATTTGTAGTCAAAGAATAACTATTTATTTGTATAAACAACAATAAACGCACACTATAAATTTTCTTCTTCATTCTTTATACTGGTACAAATTGCAACCTACGGTGAAAATACAGTGTTATAGAGTATAGTATTCTTACCAGAAGATGACAGGAGGCTTCTACTATACAGCAACAACTAATAAATGACCAAACTGGCTGAAATAGAACCAAGAACAAACCAAAACAAATATGATTTTTTTTACAAACCACACCTACTCTTCCGCATTGCCACGCCCTAAATTATTGCAATTGTTTTATTTCAGTTTTTTAAAAACGGTACAAAAATGAAAACGGTACGAACGGTGTTGTTGTACCATCGTTCTACAGTGCTAAAACGTGAACTTTATTTTGTCTTCTACTGTATGTCTTGTATAACATTTGAATTTTTATCTCAGACACACATAAGTACATGTATACTCTGTATTTTTATTATAATTAATAGTCAGCTCATGAAGCTCAAAAAAAACTATACATACATTAATACATGTACATTGTCTCTCCCATACAGTATGGTCACTACACGTACCCATGGAACTTCTTCTCTAACACTAACTTTATTCACATTCTCTACAGGATACTACTCACTAATGGTAAGTTACACGTACATATAAAACGATACACACATTAACACTAACCAATTCTCATTTCTAGTCAAAATGGCTCAGTGTGCAATCAATCACACCAGCAATAGCTCCCTTTTATCTTTATTAGGTATAAAGTACAACAAACTATAACAAAGGTAAGCCACAATAACACACAAATGTACTTACATTTATCTATACAGCTGCAATTGTACCAGTATCATTTAATAGAAAAATCATGCTTGTACTACACTGCTATTTATCTGTTCATAACTATAAAGAACATCAAAGTGTAATAAAGAAAAGTAAGCCACAATAACACACATACATGTACTTACCTTTATCTATACAGCTGCTATTGTGCCAGCAAAATTGAATAAAAAATCATACTTGTACTAGACAGCCATTTCTCTGTTTATACCTATAAAGAACAACAATGTGTAATAAAGAAAGGTAAGCTACAATAATGCACATACATGTACTTACTTTTATCTATACAGCTGCTATTGTACCAGCATCAATTAATAAATCATACTTGTACTAGACTGCCATTTATCTGTTTATAACAATAAAGAACAACGAAGTGTAATAAAGAAAGGTAAGCTACAATAACGCACATACATGTACCTACTTGTGGTCTATACAGCTTGTTATTGTGCAAGGATTATTGATTAAAAAAAATCACATTTGTATAAAGAACAATGTGTGATAAAGAAAGGTAACCTACAGTAACACACATACATGTACTTGCTTATATCTATACAGCTGCTATTGTACCAGCATTATTGAATTAAAAAGTCATACTTGTATTCGACTGCCATTTTTCTGTGCATAAATATAAAGAACAAAGTATAGTCAAGAATGGTTAGCAACAATAACACACATACAAGTACTTACTTTTATCTGTACACTGCTATTGTAACAGCATCATTGAATAAAAGTCATACTTGCACGAAACTGCCATTTATCTGTCTATAACTATAAAGAACAACAAACTATAATAAAGAAAGGTTAGCTACAATAACACACATACATGTACTGACTTTTATCAATACAGCTGCTATTGTACCAGCATCATTGAATTAAAAAATTATAGTTGTACTAGACTGCCATTTATATATTTATAACTACAAAGAACCACAAAGTGCAATAAAGAAAGGTAAACTACAATAACACATACATGTACTTCTTGTGGTCTATACAGCTTGCTACTGTACCAGCATCAATGGATAAAAAAATTATAGTTGTACTAGACTGTCATTTATCTGTTTATAACTATAAAGAACAACAAAGTATGATGAAGAAAGGTTAGCTACAATAACACACATACATGTACTTACTTTTCGTCTATACAACTTGTTATTGTACCAGCAACCTTAAATAAAAAGTCATACTTGTACTAGACTGCCATTTATCTGTTTATAACTATAAAGATTGACAAAGTACAGTAAAGAAGGTAAGCTACAATGAAACACATCTTAACCTACTATTGTCTACGCAGCTTGCTAGTGTGACAATCTTTTGCACCTCAAATAACAGCCATTCTTGCTATTATACCTATATTGAAGTAGCTTCCTAGTCAGTTGTATATCCTTATAGGCACACAGATTAAAGCAACAGCTCAACTCTAAACTGGTTGTTGACAGTTGGCTGGCTGTACATACTTTAAAAATTATTTATAATTTCGAATATATTTGAACATTTTCAATCATATACACTTACCTTTAAGCTTCCGTAGTTCCTTTTTGGGTTATACTGAGGAAAGGGTACTACCTCATTAAAATTCATAATGATGCATGGCCAGTGGTCATGCACTGCTGGTTCAACAGTGACATGTGCCGGTAGGTGTTGTCACAAAATGGTCGACAAAATTTTATTTTTATGAAAACAGCAACAGCTAGAAACTAGAGAATGCAAGCGATAAAAAGCAGAGGGAGCAAGAGATAGGACCCTGAAAACCAATTACTTGTGTGTCAAAACAGCTGGAAAATGTAATTATATCATACATTTACTGCTTGTGTAATTATTATACTATTATAGTTTGTAGGTACGATCAGTGGGTACTGTTCTACTATACAAGAAATGATATTGTTCAATGCATTTTGGTGGGGACTGTCCAATTTCATTCTCACAAATTCAGGCAGGTATGTATGGAACAGTTGAGAATGCATTGTTTGAGTTTTTCTCATCTTTCCTTTGCACAGACTAGATATGCTCCTGTGACCGGGTCAACAAAATGTTAGTAGTGGTGGACAGTACGATGGGTATAGTTCCATCTGAGTAACCTATCAAGGCCATTTCTGTTCCTTCAAGTACCCAATGACCTTCAACTAAACGACTCCTATTGTACGTCCTTGGTCCAAACTTTGATTCATCGATCTCAGCATCTATACCAGGGCCACCAATTTCAACAGGATGATCAATGAATTATTGAGCCTAAACGTCACGTATGAAATTGTACCAGTTGATACCCGTTTTTTCACTGATCTGAAATGTGACATTCTGATGTAACTGCTTAAAACGACATCAAATTTCCTGAACTTCCTTGATCAGATCTAACAATGATGTCTTTGTCGACCATAGATCAATTATTCTTATGATAGTATAGAGTGATAGAAATGAAGTGCAGATATTTGCAAACTGCGTGTGTGTAATATTTACTGCAAGTTAATTTGTTGCTAAACTTGATATCATTTCTTCAAATAATAAAAGCAGTACACTATGGGGCAAAATAGTTTACCACACTGAGAAATGCCTCTAGTTGTGATGTTTTGTAAGAATTAGAGCCCTTAATAATGCTTTTTAATAGCTATTGGTTTTTTATTAATGTTGCTAATTAATTTGCTGCTGATATTGGTACCTATTAAAGGAAAGGAATAAATGTAAATTATCAATTATGCTATTTTATGTGTGGTTTCTTAAGCCACTTTCTTTTTCTCAATCTGCCACGTTGAGAGTGCTTGAACAGTTTACTATGTCCTCTATGCACATTATGTAAGTGATTATACACTGACAACCATTTCTCATAAATCAGGTCTTGGTTATCTCCTGCAGTACACATGATTGACCGATATTAATGCTTAACCTTGCTTTGGGCCCCCTCTCTTACAATTTCACTCTTTTTCTTCAGATAACTTATCTAGTTTCTTCTTTAATCCTATGTAGAGTTGCATTGTCATTTATTTATGCTAAACAAACCTTTCGCAATATGTCATGCATCAAACTTGTGTTTTATTTCTCGTACCTCTTCTCTCATTCTTTTAGTTAACTATCTGGCTATGCCTGTCAGAAACAATTGAGCTTGTATTTAATCCCTCCTCCTCTGAATGGTTGATTGCCCAGATGAAACCTTCCTTTTCCATGTTTGTACTTCTTCATTAATCTACAATTAAAAATGAACTATACAAATTAAATTTGAAATTTACCTGTACTACCTGTGTACCGTCTATCCGGATATTAGTATTAGTATAAATTTTTGATTTAGAAAATTGTTGTGAAACTAAACTTTTACGATTTCCAAGAAAT